TGAAAGGAGAAACTTTTGTTTTTCCTTTTGGGCCACCCCACCTCGGTGGGATATGGCTGGTACTTTGAAAGAAAGAAAGACCAATACATTGTACCACACTTTATTCAGTAATTGCTATACTCCTAGTTTTAATAACAATTAAAGGGCTACTTTCAGGTGTTATAATATTTTTTTCCCTCTTGTCCATAGAGTCACATTTATTAAAATACTCCAGGTGCTATTGACTATCTCAGGTGCTACTGTTTTTGTTTTTAATTCATTCTTTTATTATTATATTCACTAGCTCCTTTATTTTAGCTGTAAATATCTACTGTAGTTCATAAACTCACATTTGTTAAAATAATTAGGTTCTACTGAGATGCTTAAGTACATAACTGAATTATCTATTCTATAATAATCCCTAGTTCTTTTATATTTTTACAAGTTTTAGAATAATTACAGAGTCTTATTCCTAAGTCTAGTTGCAGATCAATACAAATCTTATAATATTTTACTCAGAAAATCTAGTTTGTAGAGTCACTCTCATCTTATGACTATAGGCATAGATCCTGATGTAAATTTTTACTAAATACATTACACAAATCAACTAGTAACTGTAATTACTATACAGCAGACCAAGCAAAGACATTACCCAGTGCAAACAATAACATAACCATCTTTAACTACAATGTCAGATCCTTGAGCAAACATTATGATGACCTCACAGCATTACTCAATTCCCTTCATTCCAATATATCAATCATCACACTCACAGAAACCTGGCTTAAGCCTGATATTACAGATGTCTATGCCATTCCTGGCTACATGGTCATACACAACTGTAGAACAGACCAGCAAGGGGAAGGAACAGCAATATACTGCTCAAATCAACTCGAATGTATCAAAATGCACAAGGGATGTACATGGAGAATATATCACAGCCAAATTTAAATTAAAAGACCTGCAAAAACCCCTCACAGTTATAAACATCTACAGAGTACCACAGTCAAACATTTACCACTTTAGTGAAAAACTAGGAAACATGATTCCTGATGCACACCTGAATAAAGACCACCTGCTACTAACAGGAGATTTCAACATAAACATACTACACGACCAGGACCCACAAGTACCCGAATTCACAAACACTATGAGCAACTGCCTGTTGCTACCAACAATATCTAAACCTACAAGAATCACCGAGACAAGTATCTCCTTAATAGACCACATCTGGACTAACATATCCCCTTCAAAATCAGGCATAATCACAGACAACACTACAGACCACTACCCAACCTTTCTCATAACTAATCTAGGTAAATTGCCACAAGACATTACTAAAGTAACCTTCAGACTACATAACGAGACAGCTGTTAACAACTTCATAGCAGCTATGAATAACATCGATTGGCAAAATGAGCTGAAACATATACAGATATGAATGAATGTATAAATAATTTTCTAAAAAAAAGCCCATTGCCTCTACAACAAACATTGCCCCAAAAACTAAATAGATCACAGAAAGAGACTGAATAGTCCCTGGCTAACACCCAGCATCCTCAAATCCATTAATGCAAAGCGCAGATACGAAAAACAGTACAAAATGGGTCAAATAACTAGAGAATAGTCTAAATGTTACTCGTCAGCTCATTAGAGAGGTGTAATGTGAGAATTCCTGAGTACCCCATTGAGGCTCATATCTTCGGGAATAGGCAGGGCTCCCCACCAACTCTCAGGAATTCTCGCAAAACACCTCTCTAAACTCTTGGGCACTATCAGTCCAGCGCATCTCAAACACTCGGGTAATCTTCTCAATCGCATTCACAACATCAACATCAGGAACAAGAAACTTTCCAGCCTTGATGTAACTTCCCAATTCACCAAAGTACCTACTACACAAGCCATCGATATCTTGCACAGGAAAATTGACAATTCACTTGATCTTCCTATTCCAGGCAGTGATTTCATCGACCTTGTTGAACTATGTGTTGTCTTTATGTGTTTCTCTTTCGAAAATCACCTTTCAGCAGACTTTTGGACTACCCATGGGTTCGCCACTCAGTGCCGTCCTGGCGAACCTATACATGGAACATCTGGCAGCCGAGCGTTTTTCCACCATTATTCCTTCATCTGTCACTTGGCTCCGTTATGTTGACGACATTCTCCTCCTAACTCCCAGACGCTTCAACGTTCAAGCTCTCCAAGACAAGCTCAACCAGGTCGAGCCCTCAATCCAGTTCACACTTGAAGAAGAAGCCGACAACACTCTTCCTTTCCTTGATGTTCTTCTCTGCAAAGCTGACCAAGAACTTCGTTTTAAAGTCTATCAAAAACCCACCAACCAAAACGATCTTCTCCACTTCTACTCTCACCATGACACCAAAACTAAACGTGGTGTAATTATAGGCTTTTTCCTGCGCGCACACAGAATCTGCAGCAATGAGTTCCTTGAGGAAGAATGCACTATAATTGAACAAGTATTTTCCAAACTTCACTATCCTCGTCACTTCATCAGAGACTGCATACGACGGGCATTAAACATCTTCAAGACACTGCCGAGAAGAGATACATAGTCCTCCCCACCAACTCCATTGCCGAACATGTTTCCAACACCTTTTCCAATACCTCATTCCAGGTATCTACCTCCACAACCACAATCATCAAGGACATTAACAGTAATAGACAGGACAAGCTTTCATCCTCTGCAGGGGTATACATAATCCTTTGTAATGACTGCAGCAAATTATACGTGGGCGAAACATCAAGAGACCTTCAAACACGTATTTCAGAACAACAATACGCAAGCAGGTCTGATATTCCCAGGAATGCCTGTGTACAACATCGCAATTCACACAACCATTTAATCAACTACAGAAACTCAAGACTTATTGCCAGAGAAGACAACATTCAATACCAAAGAATCCCAGAAGCATCACTTATCTCTTTATCCAACAACTTCAACCAGAACAATGGCTTCTATAACATAGCTGAACCACTTGCCAAGAAACTTCTTCATCGCTATCCCACATAAGAACATAGAGTGGAGGAACACTGCAGAGGGTCTACTCACATACTTATCCAATCTCCCTTCCAAGCTACCCAAGATTTCAGACTCTATAACCCCAATTGGTAGATCATCACATGCAGCATTCTCCACCTGACCCAGCATTCTGACCCTGACTATAAATACTCGCGTACCTTCCACCCCAGGTAGATCTGTTTGTGACTTGAAAAAGCCCACCTGTGTGGGCGAAAACATTATCAATTAAGGATCACATTATACTGCATATGTGTTTATATTTCCACAGGTACTCCTTGACTTACAATGGGGCTATATTCTGACAACCCATTGTAAGTCGAAAATATTTTGTCTGATATGAATATGATATGCTAAATAAATGAGCAAATAAATAGCTACTGTCACTGAATAAGTAAATAAACAAATAATTACTGCAACTAACTGCTTTTGCACCTTCATAAACTTGAAATATTCATAAGTCAAACCATTGTAAGTCAAGGAACACCCGTACAGTAGGATCCTCGTATCTGTGGATCCGGTATCTGTAGTTTCAGTTATTCACTGTTTACCATGGCCTGAAAATAACCCTTAATTTTGCTTAATAATGGCCTCAAAGTGCAAAAGTAGTGATGGTGGAAATTCTTCAAAGCCTAAGATAAGCTGTGAAGGTCCTTCCCATCAATGAAAAAATGATAATTCTCCACTTATTGTGTGTATTTTATCAGTTAAACTTTATAATAGGTATGTATAGGACTTATATATAGGATTCACCACTATCCACAGTTTTGGTACCCGTGGCAGGTCCTTGGAATGTATCCCCTGCAGATACAGGGGTCCTACTGCATATATATGTCATTTTTCATTTACATACATACCTATGATAAAGCTTAATTGATAAATTACACTTATCTGAGTGAACTGAGCTCATGACAAAGAACTACATGAGGGACCCTGAAAGGGTTAAACACAAACACATGTCCGGTGCCTCCAGCCTTCTCCTCTCTGCAACATTTAAAACCCATTCTTCATACCCAAATAACACTATTGGTACTACTATACTCTTGTACATTCCCCTTTTTACCTCCATGGATAAGTTCTTTGTCTCCACAAATACTTCAATGCACCAGCCACCTTTTAACTTTCATCGGTTCTACGGTTTACCTCATTTTTCATAATCCCATCTGCCTGTAAGTCCACTCCCAAATATCTGAACACATTTCCTTCCTTCAAACTTCCTCCCTTCAAGATGATATATAGTATTTCAATGTCTAGATGCTTTGTTACTTTCATTATCTTATTCTTTCCAATGTTCATTTTTAATTTCCTTCTTTTACTTTTACATACCCTCCCAAATTCCTCCACCAAACTTTCTAAGTTCTCTTCAGACTCTCCCAACAGAACTGTGTTATTGGCAAAAAGCAACTGTGACAACTTTCACTTTGTATCAAATTTGTTATCTCTCAACCTCACACCCCCTCCCAACACCCTAGAATTCACTTCTTTTACCACCTCATCAATATGGTAAATAAGTTTTGTGATATCACACATTCCAGATTATGGCCTACTTCTTCTGGAAAATAAGCCTCCTCTCTCCTACATACTGTAACTTGAGTCTCACTATCCACATAAAACCCTCTACTGTTTTTAGTAACTTACCACCTATTAAAGAATAAAAAAGCACAATACTGTGATTGGAACAATACCCAAATAACCCACACATAGGAGAAAGAAACTTACGACAATGTTTCAGTCTGACTTGGACCATTAACTAGTCACACAGTATGTGACTAATTAATGGTCCAAGTCTAACTGAAACATCACCCTAAGTTTGTTTCTCCTATGTGTGAGTTATGTGTGTATCTACCACCTATTCCATACATTTGCAACATTTGCCATATTGCTCCCCTAATTTATATACTAGTTCTAATTCAAATAAACTGGTATAACAATGCTTACATAAAAAAAAAGCATATTCATAAAAGTAGTGGAAGAGAAAACCTACCTATGGGGTATTTGAATGTACAAGAAGAAAGTGCCGCCTTCATAGGGAGAACCTGCAGGACCCCGTATTGAAGCTTGCCAGTGCAGAGACATCTTATCTAGTGGTGATGCCTGAATACCTTCTGGTGGGTCTGACCGAAGTGCTACATGGAGATATACCAGAAAAGTTGATTAGCAAATATATAAAGACATCAGAGACTGGCTTATGATTAACAGATTGAGGATAGTCTCTCACCACTCTATGCTGAATGGCCCATACAGGTTTAGCTTTTCATGAATAATAATAATTGAATATAATTCATGTTATGCACTAGACCCACGTGGATCATTCAGCACAAAGTGCGGTGGAAGCTTAACACTTTGTCTACTGAGCATAAGACAGACATACTTCATATTTGTAGTTACTTAGATGTGTCTTTATGAAAAATAACACAATAATACAATTTTCAGGGACAAAACCTATAATTATGCCTAATATTTTGGGCAGATTTAAACTCGAAGAAAAAAGCAAGAAGAAATAAAATATTTCACTGAAACGTGAATGAAGCAAGCTAAATATGAATGACAAAATTCTGAGAATCAGGGACAATGACAAAATCACCAAATTTAAGGAGGAAATGTGTGAAATCTTTAACCCTTTCAGGGTTTCTGACGTACTAGTATGGCTTAAGCACCAGGGTTATTGACGTACTAGAACACCTAAATTCTAGCGCCTTCAAATCTAGTGAGAGAAAGCTAGTAGGCCAACATATGAAAGAATGGGTCTATGTGGTCAGTGTGTGCAGTATAAAAAAAATCCTGCAGCACACAATGCGTAATGAGAAAAAAAAAACTTTCACTGTGTTTTTGGATTAAAACAGCAACTTTGCACTGTATTTTCGTATGGTATTTGATGGTTGTATTCTAGTTTTCCTGGTCTTATTTTATAGAATGGAAGACATATTACAGAAATTGAGATGATTTTGATTGGTTTCACAATGAAAAGTACCTTCAAACTGAGCTCAAAGTAACAGAAATGTTCGAGTTTTACCAAAGTTCAAAAGTAAACAAATCATGCCAAGTGTCCAATACATGTCAACTGGTGAGTTTAATATTCTTTCACAAGTGCACTGATATTTATACCATTTCTACACTAATGCAGTAGTCTGCATAACAGTAAATCTTTTATTTTTATGAGAATAAAAATTAAAGTGGAAAGCAAAAGAAATGTAAGAGGGGCCTGAGGACATGACTAACGAACAGAGAACTTGTTATGTTAGTGCCAGGAAGGTCTGTCTTGTTTATTCTGGACCCTATTTGGAAATTGGCAACTTCTGAAATTGTGTGAAATTGGCAAAATTGCTAATTTCTAACAACTTTATTGGATAGTTGAAATTGGTAAATGGGTGGTTTCTTGTACTCATTCGATAGAAAAATGGAGTTCTAGTGAAATAAATATGATTTTTGTCGACTAGTACACAGGAATTGGCCGAAAATAGGACTCAAAGTGGGCAAAATCGCCAATGAGTAAACATCATCGAGACTGCTAACTTCGCAAGAGCATAATTCCATAAGTTTTATATCAAATTTCATACTTTTGGTGTCATTATGATCGGGAAAAGATTCTCTATCATTTCATGTGAAAAAATAATTTTTTTTTTCAAAAAATTTTCAACCCTGAGAACAAGTTTAGGAGAGAGCTTCTCGACCCTGAAAGGGTTAATATAAAGTGCCAGCATGTGTTCATTGGATAGAACACAGTAACTGCAGTAGCTCTGAACCAACAACAGAAAACTGAAATGGAACTCACTGAAATATCCAAAAATGTAAAGAAGCTAACCGCTGGGTATTGACAAAATAAATAAATGTAATGGGACCTGACAAAAATGTTGCATTTAAAAAACTAGACAGGAAAACTAAGCTATCCATTCTAGAAAACTTGAGGGATCACATTACAGGAATGCAAACTGTTCAAGAAATGGAAAAAAACACATAATTTGCCAATATTCTAAAAAGGTAACAGTAATGATCCGTTAAACTAAAAGCCTTCTTCATTGACAATTCTTTTAGAAATACTGGAAAAAGCAAGTATAGAAAAGAGGAAACTCTTTCTGTCAAACAATTCAGCTTCCAGTCAGTCTATGTTAAACTTATTAGGCCATTGTTATACTGACAAAGAATTCATTATAAAGACTCAAATGGGTAGAGTGTATTTAGTTTGGTTTAAATAAACTTTCAAGCTTAAGTTCCTCATGAAAGTTTTTTCTAGAAACTACAAAATATAAGAGGAATAAAATGCAAACATTACACTGGCTGAGAGATTATCTGTTTGAAAGGAAAATGTGAACAGTGATATAAGGAATATTGTACTCATGGAAAAATGTCTCCTGCAGAATGCATCGATAATGGACAAAAGAGACTGTAAAAATTATAGGGGAATAAGCTGCACTTTAAAGGAGGGGTTTTGGATATTGGCAGTTTGGAGGGATATGTTGTGTATCTTTATATGTATATGCTTCTAAACTGTTGTATTCTGAGCACCTCTGCAAAAAAAGTTATTATGTGTGAGTGAGATGAAAGTGTTGAATGATGATGAAGTATTTTTTGGGGGGGGATTTTCTTTCTTTTTGGGTCACTCTGCCTCGGTGGGAGACGGCCAACTTGTTAAAAAAAAAAAGTTTACTGAGTCCTTGGTAGTAGGTTGGTAGACAACAACTGCCCAGGGAGGTACTACCATCCTGCCAGGTGAATGTAAAATGAAAGCCTGTAACTGTTGTACATGATGGTAGGATTGCTGGTGTCTTTTTTCTGTCTTGTAAACATGCAAGATTTCAGGTACATCTTGCTACTTCTACTTACACTTAGGTCACACTACCCATGCATGTACAAGCACATACATATGCACCCCTCTGGGTTTTCTCCTATTTTCTTACTAGTTCTTGTTCTTGTTTATTTCCTCTTATCTCCATGGGGAAGTGTCGTCAGAGGCAACTAAAATTCCAGGAGCAAGGGGCTAGTAACCCTATCTCCTGTATATATTACTAAATGTAAAAGGAGAAACTTTCGGTTTTCCTTTTGGGTCACCTGCCTCGGTGGGATACGGTTGGTGTCTTGAAAGAAAGAAGTTTACTGAGTATACCAGGTAAAGTGTATGGTAGGGTTATTAGTGAAAGAATTAGAGGTAAGACAGAGAGTAGGACTGCATATGAGCAAGGCAGCTTTAGAATGGGTAGGGGATATGTAGATCAAGTGTTTACATTGAAGCATATATGTGAACAGTATTTAGATAAAGGTAGGGAAGTTTTCAATGCATTTATGGATTTGGAAAAGGCATATGATAGAGTGGATAGGGAAGCAATGTGGCAGACATTGCAAGTGTATGGAATAGGTAGTCAGCTACTAAATGCTGTAAAGAGTTTTTATGAGGATAGTGAGGCTCAGGTTAGGGTGTGTAGGAGAGAGGGAGATTACTTCCCAGTAAAAGTAGGTCTTAGACAGTGAAGTGTAAATGTCACCATGGTTGTTTAATATATTTATAGAAGGGGTTGTAAAAGAAGTAAATGCTAGGGTGTTGGGGAGAGGGGTTGGATTAAATTAGGGGGATTCAAATACAAAATGGGAGTTGACACAGTTACTTTTTGCTGATGATACTGTGCTTTTGGGAGGTTCTAAAGAAAAGTTGCAAAGGTTAGTGGATGAATTTGGGAGGGTGTGTAAAAGGTAGAAAGTTGAAAGTGAACACAGATAAGAGTAAGGTGATGAAGGTATCAAACAATTTAGCTTAAGAAAAATTGGATATAACATTGGAGAGAGGGAGTATGGAAGAAGTGAATGTTTTCAGATATTTGGGAGTTGACTTGTCAGTGGATGGGCTTATGAAAGATGAGGTTAACCATAGAATTGATGAAGGAAAAAAAGACGAGTGGTGCGTTGAGGTATCTGTGGAGACAAAAAAACGTTATTCATGGAGGTAAAGAAGGGAATGTACGAAAGTTGTATAGTGGTACCAACACTCGTATATGGGTGTGAAGCTTGCACTGCAAATGCTGCGGCAAGGAGGCAGCTGGAGGCAGTGGAGATGTCGTGTCTAAGGGCAGTGTGTGTGTAAATATTATGCAGAGAAGTGTGGAAATTAGGAGGACATGTGGAGTTACTAAAAGTATTAGTCAGAGGGCTGAAGAGGGTTTATTGAGGTGGTTTGGTCATTTACAAAGAATGGGGCAAAGTAGAATGACTTGGAGAGCGTATAAATCTGTGGGGGAAGGAAGGTGGGGTAAGTCATCCTCAAAAAGGTTGGAGGGAGGGGGTAAAGGAGGTTTTGTGGGTGAGAGGCTTGGACTTCCAGCAAGCATATGTGATCATGTTAGATAGGAGTGAATGGAGATGAATGGTTTTTGGGACCTGATGAGCTGTTGGAGTGTTAGCAGGTAATATTTTGTGACGAGTCAGTGAACTGTTAGCCAGACTTAGTCTGAATGGGATGTAAATGCTCACTTTAAAAGGAGTTTGGAATGGAGTTTGAGGGAAATTAACTGCCGTATACTCAGTGCTCTGCAAAGACAGTGATTATGTATAGATGTGTTTGAAAGGACTGGAATGATGATGAAGATATTTTCTTTTAGGGGTTTTGATTCTTAATTGGGTCACCCTGCCTCATGGAAAGACTAGTGTTTACCTGTAGAGAGTCGGGTGAAACGCCCCGCGGCCCAGTCTGTGACCAGGTTTTCTCATTGTGGATCGAGCCTGATCAACCGGCTGTTCTGTGGCTGCACGCAATCCAACATAGAACCAGAGCCTGGCGGTCAGGTACATGACCCCGTTAACGATATTTTTCACTCGAGAGTATGTTCAGGTGTCATACGACCCGAATTTATTCCCATACCAGGACTATTGTGATAGATAGTCCTTATCAGACCAAACATACACGCAAACGCACTTACATAATACACTACATAATTGTCGCATTCGAGGGACGTATGCGGGTCACTGTACTGACTTTAGGTGATTGTCCAGTGCCAGCTTGAAGACAGCCAGGGGTCTATTGGTAATCCCCTGTATGTATGCTAGGAGGCAGTTGAACAGTCTTGGGCCCCTGACACTTATTGTGTTGTCTCTTAACGTGCTAGTGACACCCCTGCTTTTCATTGAGGGGATGTTGCATTGT